GGTAACTGCCTCAATCCACTGCTTCCCCAGGTGCCGCGGGACCCACGGAACTACAGGTGTGGGGCGGGGTGCGCGTGGAAGAAGAGACTAGGATAGGGGTGCGCTTGGGCAGACAGGAGGAGGCAGGGGGTATTGTTAGGGGAAGAGAGGATCTGGAGACTGTTGGAGGAGGGAAAAGACAGAGAGTTGGGGGCTCAATGTGTGGACAAGGAGGTGCAATCTCCAGGGGCTCTGTGGGGGAAGGGCAGGAGTGCTTTGTGGAGTGGAAGGTACAATGTAAGGGGGGCAGGGTCGCTGTCTAATGTGTAGAGTTGGAGGCAATACTTGATGGGTAGGGTATCTGGAGGCGCTTTAGAGGAAAGGGGAGCTGGGTTATGGAGAAGGGCTGGTGGTCCACAGTGTGAGACAGAATGAGGGGATGTGTAGAGGAAGACACCCTCTGTGAGTGGATGGTGCTGTGGGCACTGTATGAGTCGAAAGGGTTGTAGGCTCTAACTGAAGGGGTGAACCACTTGTGCTTTGAGAAAGTAGTAGTCTGGGGGCATGAATGGAACTCCAGGAAGATGTTTGTGTATTGTGTCCTAGGAGTGAGGGTGATGGAATTAGTGAGGTGAAGAAGCTAGTCTGTAATGCTCCTTGCTCCTCACACAGCTCCCAACTCCACTTCTGGCCTGAGCACTTGCACCAGGTCTTCTGTGATAGCAGTCTCCTCAGTCTGCTCTGGTTCTGTCTGGCTGAGACTGGGGTCTCTTCCCAACTGGTGTCCCTTGGGACCCTTCCCCTATTTGGTTCCTGTTAACCCCCCATCTTAGTTCCTGTTCCTCCCAGAAGGCTGCCTTGGTCCCTGTTCTGCTCCCCCAGCCCAACCCCTTTGCCCTACCCTTATGCTCTGGGTGTGCTCATTTCCCACTTCCTTCCTTGCCCTGGGGCCTGGCCTGGTCTTTGCCGGCCTAGGAACTGTGCCCTGCCCAGGACTTTGTATTCAGTGGCCTGAGACCCTGGTATCCCGCTGCAAGATCCAGGCCCCACCCCTACTACTACCACCAAAGTCTCTCCTAATAGTCCTGCAAGTGACTGGTAGCCATATTGTTGCCACTTGCCACAAACTGATTTGCCCCATCTTTGCCTCTCCCCTGGGTGAGAAACTCTAGCCCCGCCCCCCTCCCAAAAAAAAAAACGAAACCCATTCCTGCCAACTCATAGCGACCCTATAGGGCAGGGTAGAACTGTCCCATAGTGTTTCCAAGGCTGTAATTCCTTATGGAAGCAGACTGCCACGTCTTTCTCTTATGGAGGGGCTGATGGGTTTGAACCAAAGACCTTTCGTTTAGCAGCCGAGCGCTTTAACCACTGCACCACCAGGGCTCTTGAGGAACCCTAGGGCCCTCAAAATTCCTGAGTTTCTGTGAGGGGCGGAGGTGGTGAGGAGTATTAGGGGTTTTTGATCTGTGTTTTGAGAGGTGGGTCACTACTGTAGGCTGAACCCAGGAAGGGATGTGAGGTTCCAGCCTCAGCTGGGGGAGGAAGAAGGAGTGGCTTGAAAGCTTACTGTCAGATCTGAGACTAGAGCCTTGTTCTTGAGGGGACTTAATGTAGTGCCAGAGTTCTTTTTGCTCCTGAGCTGACTAGGAGACGGTGGGAAATGACTGCCTTCCACACAGTGGCTGAATGAGAGTGACAATGTTGATGAAAGGGTCCCCAAGCCAGCCTCTTCACACAACCACCAGGTAGTTAAGAGACTGGCTAGGAGTGAGGGGTGTTGAGGCCGAACAAAGCAGTGGGGTAGGGTGGGGTAAAAGAGGGCCTGCTGAAGCCTTTTGAGGAGGAGCTGATTGCTATGGCAACACTGCTTCCCAGACTGTCTCTCAGAGAGGGCGGGCGTAGGGCCGGCTCTGTAAGGCTTCCTTTGGACTGGGGCAGCTTTTTTAGGATTGGGACGTTTGTAAGAGTGGGTGGGGCATGGAGAGAAAGGGCTTCAGTTTGCCCTGTTGAGGCGAGAGTTACCCAGTGTTTCTGCTTTGTGTAAACTGCAGGGATTCAGACGCCTGGGGCCATTCTCTGAAAATGGATGAGAGTGAATCACAGCCATTAGAATTATAGCTGAATAGGGCCAGAGTTGTAGAGACCATCTGTGGTCATCTTTTTACAAACCCCTTATTTTATAGATTTGGAAATTTAGGGCCAGAGAGACTGTGATTTTTCTAAGGTCTCACAGTGGAAAAGCAAGAGTGTCTTAGTTATCTAGTGCTGCTATAACAGACATACCACAAGTAGGTGGCTTTAACAAACAAATTTATTTGATCACAGTTTAGGCAGCTGGAAGTCAAAATTCAGGGCACCGGCTCTAGGGGAAAGCTTTGTCTGTCTGTCGGCTCTGGAGGAAGGTCCTTGTCTTTCTGAGCTTCTGCTCCTGGGCAATCTTCACCTGGCTTGGCATCTCCTTTCCCCCATCTCTGCTTTGCTGGCTTGTTTAATCTCTTTTATATCTCAAAAGAGACTGACTCAAAATACACCCTACACTAATCCTGCCTCATTAGCATAACGAAGACAACCCATTCTCAAATGGAATTATAACCACAGGCATAGAGGTTAGGATTTACAACACATATTTTTGGGGGACATAATTCAATCCATAACAAAGAGTTAGGGCCCAGGTCTCCCAATTGCCTGTTCACTTAGCCCAGGGCTCAGCTCGTTGTTTCTTTTAACCAGTGTTTATAGAACACCTATTATGTGCCAGGAACTGATACTGACTCTGGGAATACTGGCACGTATAAAACAGAGAGTTGCCGCTCTCAGGGAGCTCCCATTCTAATAGGGTGTGTGTGTGTGTGTGTGTGTGTGTGTGTGTGTGTGTAAAAATAAAGCAGGGTAAGTGCTTAGGGGGGTCTAGGTAATGCCCCTTGATTGTACCAGGCTGCTTTCCCAGGGCATACTGAGGCCTGGAATGTCTTTGATTCTTCCCCCGAAGATAACTAAGGCCTGGGCCTATGCTAAACCAAACCAAACCAAACCCATTTCCTTCGAGTCGATTCCAACTCATAGCAACCCTATAGGAAAGAGTAGAACTACCCCATAGGGTTTCCAAGGAGCCACTAGTGGATTCGAACTGTTGACCCTTTGGTTAGCAGCCAAGCTCTTACTGTTACTATGCTAGTAGCAGTAAAATAGAACAGGGTGGGGTTACCATGGGATTATTTCTTTCTTACAATGTTCTGTGTCTCTACCTGTCTTCCCAGTAAGGTTTTACTAAGTCAAGTAAGCTCTTACATTGGTACCCTGCAATTTTGTTCAGGGTGTTGAAAATTTTCTTAATCCTTTTTTTAGCATTAGGGAACCAGCAAGAAAGTCTGTCTAAGGCAACTGGGATTTTTTCAGGTTTTTTTCCCTGGTTTGAGAGATGAGGAGAAGGGAACCTAGAAGAACTGCTTCTTGCTTCTCCCCCTAGGTCTAGGACACAAGGAGGAAGTGAGGGGAGGAGAGCCTCTTCCTGTCTAGTGACAACCTTCAGGACCCATAGGTCTCACAGCACAAGCAAGGCAAAAACAAGGACCTTGGGTCTTCTGTGGTCTCTGAGCTATGAAAGAATGGACTCTGCCCTTCTGAAGGGACAGCCAGGGAGACTGCCCTGGCTGACACCAATTCTCCAAGTACTCCACTTGAGTCTTCCCTCTTTTGGCTCTGGTGTTTGCCTTCTGCTTCAGTGGAAATCTGGGAGAAAAAGCCTTCTAACTTTCAAACTAACTGACTTGCCAGCAGATGCAGAGGGCAAGGGAGAAGGGATATCTATTTTCTTAGGTTGCCCCTAGAGCAGCCCCTCTAAAGAGTGTCTTTGAATGCCCAGCCATTGCAAAGATTTTCATACTGGTCATTTAAAAAACAGGAGGACAAGGGTTAGGGATTCTGGTTCTGCTGCCGCTTAATTTGGCTGGGTCTGGGCTGGGCCTGGGGCCCAGTGACTAAGGGGGAATGTGGGGAGTTTCGAGGGAGCTGTGAGTCGTGGGGGTGAGCACCATCACAAGAGTTGGGCACATTTTCCCCACTCTGGGCAGAAGCCCTCTTTTCCTTTTTCCCGTTGGTACCCTGCTTCATTGAACAGGCGTCTGTGAGTAGAAAGAGTGCTAGCAGAAGGGATGCTGCAGGCTGATATCAGAATGGAGTTCAGAGACACAGAGAATGATGCCTGAATTCCTGAATTAAAATGTATCCCTATCTCAGGAGTCCTTGGTGCCCCTTTAACAAAGGCAAAAGAACATCAATGTGGAGTAAGAGAAGTAGAATGCCATTTCTCAGCATATAAGAAGATAGGGTCAGATCTTTTTCATCTATCTCGGCATGAAAGGAAGTCTCCTGGGCTCCAACAGTCCTCTGGTCCTTGGAGCTGTGGTTTGGAGGGTGGGAAAAGATGAATGGGACTGGGGGGTATTCGAGGTCTGGTGTAGAAAGGACGGCTGACTTTGGGGGCTGTTGACTGTGTCTATGAAAGCCCTGAGGCTTCCTATTAATCAGTTCTGGAAGAGGAGGGGGGGTGGTGAGAAGTGGCTGGGCTGAGAGCTGCTTTGGATTACAGCAGATGAGGGGTTAAGGACATGGGCGGGCGACACCGAGTAGACCTGCCCCCTCGTGGACCAATGAGCGTGCGTGTCTTGGAGAGGGCGTTCCTCACCCTTGAGATCGCCGGGGGGCTGGCCTCCTATGGGCCAATGAGCTTGGTCCCTTCCAGGGAGGGCGTGGCCTGAGGGAGGGGCGTGGCTGCCGCGGCGAGGGTGGCGGGGCGGGCGGCCCCATCAGCTGGTAGGAAATGGCCTGTGAGTCAGAGGGGCAGCGGAGTCGGCGGCGCAGAGCCGGGCCGGCCCTGGGGAGGGACCGTCGTGGGGAGGGGCGCGGCAGCGGCTGGGGGGCTGCGGGCGCCGGGGCCCGCTAGTGTTGCACACGAAGCTGAGCAGAGAAGAGCCTGGCAGTGCAAGGCTCAGCCGGAGCCACCCTTTGTCTGGGTTGGGGGCCCGTGGCGGGGAGAACCGGGGATCTGAGGGGAGGGACTGGGACAGGACTGAAGGGCCCGGAGCAGCGGCCGCCGCGGCGGAGCCAATTTGGGAGCGGGGTGAGTGTGTGCTACGGCAAAAGAGCAAATCTCCGAAGCCCCAGTAGGGAATGGGGCCTGTCTCAGGCTATGGGGAGGACGGGGTGAGAAAGGACCTGGGAGGCTGAGTACAGGGTGGGGGATCGTTCAGAGCCAGGAATACAGGAGCCAGAATGAGTCAGCCGGGATCAGTTTGGAGGAGTTGCTGAGATCTGTTCCCTCTCCACTGAGGGTGGGGGCACTAGGCCAGGGGCCAAGGGGTTGGTGAGAGAGCAGAGGTTAACCCTCCTACCAGGTTAACCCTCCTACAGACGGTGGTGCTCCGTGGGAACAGCCCCTCTAGCTTGTGTGGATGTGTGTGTCAGGACAAAATGTACAGCAGCTGGAAGCAGTTCTGTCTGAACAGGATGAGGGTGGAAAGTATATGCATAGGAATTCTTCCTGTCACCCTCCTTAATCAAGGTAGAAATAGGTGTCTTTAATACTGAAGGGAAGGGGATAATGAGCCTGGAGCTAGTACCTATACCAACACCCACACCCACCCCACCTTCCAGGCCTAGCAGGTGTCTGAGGGTACGGACCCCATGGTATTCTGGGACTTGTTGTTTTTTCTGGCCTTGCTCCCTTGGCATGTTGGGAGGTGTAGTCCTCGCCAGACATAGCCTGGCACAGCGGCTGCCCACCCCCCCGCACAGAGGGTGAGGTTCCGCCTACCCCGCCCCCCACCCCACCCCCGCCGCCGCAGTCCTGCCCCATGAGTCAGCTTGAAGCCATGGTCTACAGCCTGACTGGCTGGGTGGCAGCGGAATGAACTTTAGAGCTTCTCCTTGAAGGGGCGGGAACTGAGAAGGCTCTGGGGTAATGAGCAGGTGCCAGGCGTGCTGGGGTCAAGTAGTGCATCATGTCATCACCTGGCTTCCCCATGGCAAGAACTCAGGAGGCCAACTGGGATGACCTGGAGGTGAGGGTGTTGAGGAAAAGGCCCTTCCTGAATGTGAATGGTTTGGGTAGAGAAAAGGAGGGGTTGAGGTGAGTGCAGGTTGTACTCTCTGACAATGTTGCCATTGGTGTTTTCTGTCCTTTCCAGTTACTCTACCCACCGCAGGGAATCTGAACCCAGAATTTTTTAGGGGATCCCAGTTCTAATGAGAACTCGGTGAAGTTAAATGGTGTGGGTACAATGATGGGAACTTGGTGTGGAAGAGCTTTTCAGTCCCTGGGTGCAAATCTCCCCTTCCTCCCTGCCTGCCCCCACCTCTGTTGTTGCTGATTCTCCCTACACAATTAAACCCACTGCTTCTCTCATCCGGGGAGTCTCTCTGCCCTGTCAGGACTACTGCCCTGATCTCTGGGGCTTACATTCCACTTTTTTGAGCCCTGTTATGTGCCTACCTCTGTGCTTGGAGTTAAGTGGAGAAATGGGGCACAGACCTATCCTTAGAAACCCTATGGCCAGACTAGGAGATGCCTTATCCACAAAAGCAAGCAGAACTGTCACTGGGTTACAGGAAGTGGTGACACTGAGGTCTCAGAGGAGGGAGAGATGTCTATGGTCTGGGGTGACCAGAGCAGGCTTTCTGGAGGGATGGCGTTTGGCTAACCCAGGAGGGAGGGTAGAGTCTTGGGTAAGGCACATAGGGGGCATTCCTTGAAAGGGAAAAGGCATTGTGGATGGCAAGTAGCTCACGCTACTGCCCAAAGGAGATGCCTAATGCTTGGGGGCAGTATTTCTACCCGTGGAGGAAGATGACCTTCAACTTGACATTACCCTCACCCAGTATGGGCTTCTGAGGGTGGACTAGTTAGTGAAGCCCATCTTGTGCCCTGACAAAAAAGCAGTGGTTAGGTGTTGGGTGTGTGAGCACTGGGGGAGGAGTGTGGAGAGGTGCTTCCAGCTGCCTTATCTCTAGTTTGCAGGGCCTGGGGGTGGGGCAGGCCCTGGAAATTGCCTTCTAGCAGTGCCTCCTCCCCAAAACATGTTTTTTGGTTGGATTTATTGCCTCCTGTTAAAGGGACAGACTGCTGTGGACAATTGGGAGTTCAAAGCTGAAGGGCCAGCTTTAAGCTGACCTGAGGTTTGTACCTCTGAGTTCTCATGGGGTTTGAGTGTCTGGGAGACCTCTGCCTTAGGGCTCTGGGGCGCCGCTTGTCCTTTTGGAGACAGACAGATGGGAACAAGTTGTGCAGCTCAGTGGCCCTGAGTAGGAGAACTGAATTTTTGCCTTGGCCATCTTTCAGTTGGACATGGTCTCCTGGATCTTGGGGTATCTCATCCCCTCTCCCACCCAGGGAAGGAGTCCCCATAATGGTTGCCCTGACAAGTGGTCATCTTGCCTCAACTTACTTCTCACATCCTTATTACTTTGCACCAAGTCTTGCCTCAGAGTTACTCCACAGGCAGCCCAGCTCTGCCATCTGGGTCCTGGATCCCAAGCCTGCCACATCTGTTTCTGAAGAGCATAGCTGAGAGGAGGATGTCCCCTGGTGTACTCTATTAGCCCACAGTTGGAGAGGGGCCTGACCAGAGCTCCCAGGGATCCTGACTTATGTCTTTTCTTCTCTCCTCAGGGCCCCACTGAGCCCAGGAGCTGCACGGAATGGTGGCAGTCACCTTGCCAGTGCAGCGGGCATGGACCAGACTGCAGGCTAGGGGAGCAGAGCTTCAGTCAGGAAGAGAGAACACACAGCTAGGCTTCAAGCCTCTTCACCGGGGTGAGTGCCAAGGAAAGGAATGGGTGATCAGGTCTAGTAGGAAACCCGAGCTAAAGATGTCACTCTCTCAGGAGTTTTGGGAGTGGCCTCTATATTCCATTAATCCTTTCGGGGATTCAGATACCTCCACTCACAGAAGCCCCTCAAGATTATCTCTTCAGGCCAGGGGTAGGTCTGGAACTCAGCTGGGAGGGAGATTTATTGATTCCCCTGACCACCTTTTCTTCTCTTTTCTTGCACAGATGTCCCCAGGCCCCCCAGCTCAACCCCAGCATAAAGGCTGTGTGGGGGGGCCCCCCTGACCCAAGGGGGGCTTCATGCGCCACGTGCAGGCGGAGCCGTCTCCATCCTCAGAGCCAGAGGCTGGCCCTTCACAGCCTCCAGCCAGGCAGGGGGCCCTCCAGGGTGGCCTGCTCATGGGCTACAGCCCAGCAGGGGGGGTGACATCCCCCGGGGTCTACCAGGTATCCATCTTTTCCCCTCCTGCTGGTGTCTCTGAGCCTCATAGGGCCCTGAAGCGGCCAGCCCCACCCACTGAGGGTCCCCGGGAGCTGAAGAGAGGCCCTGGGCTGGGGGCCAGAAAGGGACTACCTCCTGAAGAACCATCTACTGTGGGGCTATTGGGCCCTGAGGGACTGGGGCTGGGACTGGGTGTGGCCAGCCAGCATTTCTCCCATCGAGGCCTCTGTGTTGTGGAACAGGGAGGTAGCTCCACCTCACCTTGGACTTTAGAGGCCCAGAGCCCTCCCTGGCCCCCATCAAATACTTCCTGCAATACTTTGCACATCAGAGACTGGGCTTCCCCAGATCCAGGGGGACAGGGGTGCCTGGGGGAGTCCCCAGGGCCAGCCCCTCCGGGCCACCTGCACACACTTGACACTGATTTGCACAGTCTTGCACAAATAGGGGATAAGAGCCCAGTGACTGGGGTGGGCAATGGGAGCAGCCCCTGGCCTAGGGATTCCCCTGGCACTGCCAATGGGCACAGTCCCGAGCACACACCCCCTGGCCCTGGACCTCCAGGCCTCTGCCCCACCAAGCGAAGGCTGCTTCCTGCTGGAGAAGCTCCAGATGTCAACTCTGAGGATGAGGGGCCAGCCCCTCGGAGGCGCCGGGGAACCCTGGGCCACCCTCCTGCTGCCAACAGTTCTGATGCCAAAGCCACACCCTTCTGGAGCCACCTGCTGTCCAGGTCCAAGGAGCCTGTGCTGGTAAACCAGGTGGGGAGGTGGGGGGGTCTACTTTCAAGTGGGTATCTGATGGGGTGAAGGTGAAGGCCTGGGTGTATGTTCCTGTGAGAGCTTATAATGAGCCCCTGCCCTAAAACACACCTAGCCTCTACCCATCCTCACTTTCATCTCTATAGGAAACAACAGACTGCAGTCCTATGGGGCGGAGGCTGAAAGGTGCCCGTCGCGTGAAGCTGTAAGTGACGAGCTTCTCCCTCTGCCCTATCACTGAGAATGGGGGCAGAAGTCTGTAATCCTCTTTCTAACCCTGGAGTAGGGGACCCAGGGTAGGAGCCCTAAGTAGTAGAAAAGCGTTCAAGGACATAAGCAGGCATCCCAGAATATCTCAAGGCAACCTACTCTGTGTCCCCTCCCCTACCAGGAGTTCCCTTCGAAGCCTCCGGAAGGGACCAGGCCTGCTGAGCGCCCCCAGTGCCTCCCCCGTTCCTACCACCACCGTCAGCCGTACCCTGCTGGGCAACTTTGAGGTAGCTCCCCTTGGGCTCTGTGATTGGGGGGTCCTGGGGAGAGTGGGAGGGTGGACTGTGTCTTGGATGAGTAAGGAAGAGAACTGGGTTCCCTCTCATAATATGTTTCTTCCCCCTACCCAACCCCAGGAATCATTGCTTCGAGGACGCTTTCCACCATCTGGCCACATTGAGGGCTTCACGGCAGAGATTGGAGCTAGTGGGTCCTACTGCCCCCAGCATGTCACGCTGCCTGTCACTGTCACCTTCTTTGATGTTTCTGAGCAAAATGCCCCGGCCCCCTTCCTGGTATGACATGATCCCAACTCAAAGTCAGGTGGTCAGCAGAATGAGGGGCTGAGGGTAGAAGGCATTCCTTAGGTGTTCCTTATCTAGAAGAGTCAGGACCAGGTGGGGAGCTCTCTAGTGTGGAAAAAGGGGCAGGTCCCAGGGTGAGAGATTGTGGAGAGGGTGAACATTCAGGGCTCCCAGTCCCAACCTTGGCTGATGGCTCCATGGCCTTCCCAGGGCGTCGTGGACCTGAACCCCCTGGGGAGGAAGGGTTACAGCGTGCCCAAGGTGGGCACCATCCAAGTGGTGAGTTTGCTCTGAGGGAGTGGGAGGGGGGAGAGAGGAAAAGCCCCTAGGCCCTACCAACCTTGTGTGTCCTGTTCCCAGACCTTATTTAACCCCAACCAGACTGTGGTGAAGATGTTCCTTGTGACTTTTGACTTCTCTGACATGCCTGCTGCCCACATGACCTTCCTGCGCCATCGCCTCTTTCTGGTGCCTGTGGGTGAGGAGGGAAATGCTAGCCCCACCCGCCGCCTCCTCTGTTACTTGCTGCACCTCAGGTAAGGACAGAGCCCAGGAATAACTCGGGAAGCCTAGAATGGGGTCTCTCCTTGCTTCTCTACTGTCTGGATTCTTACCTTGATCACGCTGTCCTCCTCCAGGTTCCGGAGCTCCCGCTCAGGTCGCTTAAGTCTGCACGGAGACATCCGCCTGCTTTTTTCTCGCCGGAGCCTGGAGCTGGACACGGGGCTCCCTTATGAACTGCAGGCCATGACTGAGGCCCCTCACAATCCACGTTATTCACCTTTGCCCTGATTGCCAGTGCTCTGGACCCGTGTAGGCCAAGGACCTGCCCATCCTGTTTCATCCTGGACAGAGTAGACACGTGGAGCAGTGGCGAGAGACCCTTCAGGCTTAAATTAAAGCTCTCGCCATGCTCATGCCCGAATTGGTTATTTGGGTATTTAAAGCTTCTGATCCCTACCACGCCCTGCCCTACTCTGGGTACTCCTTGTGCCTGTCCCCTCTCTTGGGTTTCCCAAGCCAGCTTAGGTAGTGGGGAGGGACGGGACCAGAGCTACCCTGAGATTGTCCCAAGTTCCCAGGCAAGTCATGCCAGCATTGCCTCCCTATCCTGGGCAGGGGCCACTTATTACTTTATTTATTTTTAATTTATAATTTATTCAAATTGGATTGCCTTGGTGACCTCCCATACCTGATAATTGGCATTGCTCCTCCTTCTTTCCCACTCATCTATTTCTCCAACCTCAGGAGTTGAAGAGGCTGAAGTGGGGGCAGGGAGAGAACTGCTGTCTCTCAGCTGAGGGCAGAGGGGTTATCCCAGAGGGACTGAGTTACTACCAAAAACTCAGCTTCCCCTGTTCTTCCCTGTTCCCTTCACTTTTCTTACCCTCTGACCCATCTCTGAAAGCCAACTTACATGTCTGCGTGTGTGCACAAGCTTGCGTGTGCGTGTGGTATGTGTGTGTGAGAGTGTGCGTGCATGTGTGCACATATAGGGATTAACCACCCCTCACCTAGGGCTCCACACTCCAGCTGTCCCTCTCCTCCTGCCTGGGTCTCCTTGCTTTGGGGTCCTGACTGAGGAAGGTATCCAGGGGGCAGAGTCAGGGCTAAGGATGGGGGTGCCTCCTCTCACCTGACCAGACTCTGACCCACCTACCTCAGCTGGGGTAAGAGGTACCCCTCAAACTCAGTCATGTGGTTCCCAACTACCCCATTCCCCACACCAGACTCTGACCCAGCCTCAGGGCTGACTCCTGGGGCTGGACTGAGGGGAACAAGCATTTGCTGAAACTTGAAAAATAACAGGAAAAAAATTGTACCTGGTACTTTTTTTTAGGAAAAAAAAAGAATAAATTCTTGTTTGGAAACTTGAACTAAGCCCTACTTTTTCTGTTGGGGAGACAATGGGAAGGGGGATGAAGGGCCTAACTGGAGCTGGGACTCTGCCCTTTCTCTCAGAGAGGTGGTGTGAGATCTTGGGCTGGGCCCTGCTGTTTCTTGGGACCTGGTCTTGCTTTTTTCAGGTAATGAGTTAGGGTGGTGGGAAAGGGATGCAGTTGAGCCAGCCAGAGAAACTGAACTCTCTCAATGTGGATCTGGATTCTCCTACTAATTCTGTTAATGACTTTAGCCCCTCTGGGCTTCAGTGCCCTCATATGTAAAATGAGGGTGACTAGGCAGGCCTTTTCAAGCATGTACCAGAGCATCAGGGATGTGTGCAGAGTGACATGCTCCAGGCAAGGCTAAAGACTGAGGCTGTGTGCTGGACTCTGCATGCACGGGAACCAGGCCTGACAGACCCTGACTGGGAAGATGTAGAAAGGGCTGTGGTGCCTTGGAAAAGGAGAGGAGGGGAAAGTCTCGGCCCAGTCACCATGGCAACGGGAATGGGGTCAGTCCCCAGTGGGAAGGCTGGATACAACACAGCAGGACTACCAGAAAATGTTACTATGGGAACCATGGCAACGAGTCAGCGCCAGTCCCTTGGTCGCTATGGTGACAGATGGGGCAATCATGCTCAGGACGCTAAACTCCGTCTTGGGTGAGGGTAAATAACTCGGTGGGAGGTGTTTTTGGGCCACATGCCGACGGGAAATAGCCTCCATTTTGGCCACCGTGCCCAGGATCTTGGGCTTAAACAAGCTCCAGCCTGAGTCTCTCTCCTGAAGGTCTGCCTTTCCCGAGAAACAACTTGATGCGCGCACTGCTAAGCAGCTCTGGGGGGCGGAACGGGGAAGGAATAGCCCGAAGCACTTCCGGGGGGTGGGACTGCAGGAGGAAAGACTGGGCTTAGTGTTTCTAGAGGGACCGCTCTAGTCCGCGTCTCGTTAGTTCCGGAGGTGTCTGCGGCAGTGGGAAATGCTGGCGCGCGCGGCGCGGGGCACTGGGGGCATTTTACTGAGGGTGAGAGCAAGGCTGCCTGCTTCAGGGAGTCGAGTCAGAGATCACCTGGGTCTTCAGCTGGGGAAGAGCAGGATTCTGAGTCTGGGGAGACAACTGGGGTCAGAGGTCATGGTTTTCCTACATGAGTCCTGCTTCGAGGACCCTTGAGGGTCGTGGCTTGGGGATATGGTTCCTCGGCAGGCATCAAGAGAGGCGGGGTGCCCTGCCGACTGGGATCTCTGCTCACCCTTGTCTTCCCTTCAGGGCTTCCTGCGGGCCCCTGGCCGCGCTCCGCGCCGCGCCTCCTCCGGATTGCCCCGAAACACCGTGGTACTGTTTGTGCCGCAGCAGGAGGCCTGGGTGGTGGAGCGAATGGGCCGATTCCACCGGATCCTGGAGCCTGTGAGAGCCTTTTAGGAACCTGCACACCCCTATGATTCCCAGGCCAGACTTGGCAGGGCACAGACCATCATCCCCATGTTGCCGCCTTTTCCTGTTGACCTAGCATCCCAAAGGCTCCATTCCTGGGAATCTCCCTACCCATCCCCACTGCCCCACCTGTCCGCTTAGAGAATGCTCCTTTACTGGCTCCTATTCCTATGACTCTCCCCTCCAATGAGAGGCCCAGCTTCACATACCTATCCTTCTGTGCTTTCCTGCTGGTGATAACCCCAACTCTCTAAGATCTCTCTCTTGGCTGGGGCTACTGCAATTCTGGGTGTATCCCATATGATTCCCTACCCACACCAGGCCTAGCTTGGATCCCAACCCCATAGTCCCATCCCTCTGAGGACCCATGACTCCTCTTCCCAGGGTTTGAACATCCTCATCCCTGTGTTAGACCGGATCCGATATGTGCAGAGTCTCAAGGAGATTGTCATCAACGTGCCTGAGCAGTCAGCCGTGACTCTCGGTGAGGGGCTCGGGGTAACACGGGTGCTCTGAGACCATTAGGAGGTAGTTGCTGGAGATCCAAAGCTTGGGAGAAGGAGCTAGTTGGACCTGAGGACCTGACCTTCCCCCTTTCTCTGCTGCACCTGTAGACAATGTGACTCTGCAGATTGATGGAGTCCTTTACCTGCGCATCATGGATCCTTACAAGGTAGCTGCCCCTAGCTTTATTCTGCCTCCTCAGTTGCCCTCCTCACTAAAACCCTGCATCCAACCTTCTTATATTCCATGCCCCTTTCAGGCAAGCTATGGTGTGGAAGATCCTGAGTATGCTGTCACCCAGCTAGCTCAGACAACCATGAGATCGGAACTTGGCAAACTCTCCCTGGACAAAGTTTTCCGGGTAAGGGGACCTGAGCTAGATTAAGTGTTCAAAGACACATTCTTACACTCTCAGTCCTTCCTGGAGGTCATGATCAGTCTCGGGCCCTTCTCAGTTTAGGCCCCTGAGTGGTAGGTTAAGGCCATGGAGCTTATACCTCTCTTCTTCCAGGAGCGGGAGTCCCTGAATGCCAGCATTGTGGATGCCATCAACCAGGCTGCTGATTGCTGGGGCATCCGCTGCCTCCGTTATGAAATCAAGGACATCCATGTGCCGCCCCGAGTGAAAGAGTCCATGCAGATGCAGGTGGGGGCCAGGGAGGGATGGGGAAGAAGACCTAAGGGTTCTCCAGTCCTAGCGGGACCAGGACTCTCTTTCCTATTGTGATGGATATAGTTGTAAGTCTGTATAAGAGTTTCCCCTGGCTTCTTGTTGACGGGGTTGCTGGGGGCTTCCAGGTGGAGGCAGAGCGACGGAAACGGGCCACAGTTCTAGAATCTGAGGGAACCCGAGAGTCGGCCATCAACGTGGCAGAGGGGAAGAAGCAAGCCCAGATCCTGGCCTCCGAGGCAGAAAAGGCTGAGCAAATAAATCAGGCAGCAGGTCAGCAGAGTGTAGAGGCTAAGGGAGGACCAAGGCCTGGGTCTTTGAGGGTTGGTGCTGGGACAGAAACTTTGGGGTACCAAGTTCTGTCTCTTTTCTTCCAGGAGAGGCCAGTGCAGTTTTGGCCAAGGCCAAGGCTAAAGCTGAAGCTATTCGCATCCTGGCGGCAGCTCTGACACAACATGTGAGATACCCTTGGGTGGGGGTGGGAGACAGAATTGACAGTGAAAGGGGTTCCTTCATCCAGTCTTAGGGGAGTTCCTGCCTTTGTGAACTCCATTGACCCAGATGACATGTTTTTTTGTCTTGTGACCTACATACGCTCTCCCCAGGAACCTGGCCTTCCTCCTCCCCTTCACCCTCCCCAAGTCTGTGATTTCTGATTTTATCCCCATTGTGGCCACAGAATGGAGATGCAGCAGCCTCACTGACTGTGGCTGAGCAGTACGTCAGCGCGTTCTCCAAACTGGCCAAGGACTCCAATACCATCCTGCTGCCCTCCAATCCCGGTGATGTCACCAGTATGGTGGCCCAGGTTAGAGTGCCCTGAGGACCTGGCACAGAGCACCAATGCCAGAGACAGAGACACCACCATCACCACCCACACACCACAGAGGCCTTCAGAGTGCTCTGAGCCTTAGACCTCCCATTCATTCCCAGTAGAGAATGAATCTCTAAGAACAGGACACCCCACCTCATTCTGGAGATAGGGAAGATCTTGAGGCACCTTTTTGCAGACATCTGTACCAGCAATCTGAGGATCCCTCTGCTCTGAGAGATAGTTTCTAAGATTACTAGAACTGACTCCAGAACTTTTAAGACTGAGGCTTGACAGAGGGAGAAAGGAAAAACAAGTTCACTGGCCCCAATCCCACCTTCTTCCTTTTAGCCATTGGTGGGTTGGGCTCTGCTGTCTGCCAAGTGTCCTCATGGCTCTCTCTCTGTCCCTCTCAGGCCATGGGTGTTTATGGAGCCCTCACCAAAGCACCAGTGCCAGCAGCCCAGGACCTGGTTTCCAGTGGGAGCAGCAGAGATGTTCCGGGCACAGATACAAGTCTCGATGAGGAGCTTGATCGAGTCAAGCTGAGTTAGTGGAGCTGGGCTTGGCCAAGGAGGCTGGGGACCAGGAGGTGGCACTCCCAGACTTCAGCTTTGGCCTCCCTGCTGAGATTTTGGTTTTTATTTTTTATTTGAACTTGAATCATGTAATAAACTCGTCATGGCAAACCAGGAACTATCCTCTTTGATTGGGAAGTGAAGTTGGGAAAGTTACCAGCATTTCCCCTGGATGTCCATCCCACCCTCCGGCTCTGTCAGACATGGGAGCTGATACCTCCGTGAGCAAGAATAACCCTCACATAAAGTGAAACCATCTTGTCTTTAGGAGAAGCTGTAGGATAGGGTGGAAGGATCAAACCACGTATGACTGAACTGCCAGCTGGGGAGTGTAGTCCGGCTCCTGCGAGGGAGTATGGGGTGTGTACTAGAGGCAGGTGGTTGAGGAGATTTTAATGGGCGGGAAGACTGCCCTAGCAGGGTAGTACTTTGAATGCTCATAAGGTCTTCACGAACTGAGAAGTTTCCTATTCATTCATTCACTGAAAAACATTTAATGATGCCTACCATGTGCCAAGCTCAATGCTAGACACGGGGGTTAAAAAACAACTGGGACCCAGTGATCCTGCTTTCATGGAATACAAGGTCAGGTAGGGGAGACAGACAAGGAAAGTTCTGGCTAAGGGCACCTGGAAGGAAAAGCATGTCTGCATGTGGGCAGCAGGGTTGATGAATATCATTGAGCACAGGCTGGAAGAATTAACAGGCATTCATCAGGCTAGGCCCAGGGTATTAGAATATGCAAAGGCCTAGGGCTTGAGAGAAATCTACACATTCGAAGAGTTGTGATTGAAGGCTGGGTTGTGAGGTGGGGTGTGACTATATGTCAAAGGCCAAATCACAGGGAACTAGGGTCCTGCTGAAGGGTTTGGACTTCATCCTTAGGGTAGTGGGGAACCATGCAGGTCCCTGCTCCCATGAAGAATTTTAAGAAGATTAAGGTGGTCACATTTAGTGTTCTAGATGGAGCTCACCTGCTGCAATGTGGAGAAGGGATTTGAAGGAAAGAAGGGAAGCTAATGGCACAGAAAAAAGGCTCGCTCAGTGATTCTGGAGAGTGTGAGGAGGCTTGAACTGAGGTGAGGGGCCATGGGGATGGAAATGGAGGGATGATTCGACATATTTCTGAATTAGAATTTATTCACTTACCCATTCAACATTTATTAAACCCCAATTATACGCCAGACAACGAAGATATAGTAAGAAAACAAAATTTTTCCCCTCAGTAAGCTTACATTCTATTTCAAGGGGACAAATCACAGATAAACGTATAGTATTTCAGATGCTGATGAGTTATGCTGTGGAGGAAATTAAAGAAAGGAGATGGGGGAAAGGGCAGACTAATTTTAAGTACAAGATCCCAGGAAGCCTCCCTGATGTTATATTTGAGCCTATATATGAAGGAGGTGAGGGAGAGAGCTATTTAGATATCTGGGAGTAAAGCTGACAAGGGATTGCAAATGCAAAGGACCTGAGGCAGAGCATACCTGGCCAGCAACTGGAGGAGCAAACAAGATGCTGTAGATGGTGTAGTTAAGGAACCAAAGTGGCAGCTAGATGAATTAAAAAGGGAAGGGGAGACCTATGTGTAGACATGTAGGGCCACTGCAAGAATGTAGCCTTTTGCTGTGAGATGAGAAACCAGTGGTTTGTTTTGTTTTTACTTATAGTTTTATTGAGATGCCTGGTAAGCTGCTTCCAAAAGGTCACAGGCATGAAAACCCTATGGAGCACAGTTTTACTCTGCAACACATGGAGTCGCCATGAGTTGGAATTGATTCACCAGCAACTGGTTTTGTTTATTGAGATACATAATTCACATATCATATAATCCTCCCATTTAAAGTGTAAATTACATTGTTTTTAGTATATTCACAGAGTTATGTAAATATCACCACAATTTTAGAGCATATTCATCACTCCCCTAGCCCCCCAAAAAACCTGTATCCTAGCCCACAGCAATCACTAATCTACCTGCTATCTCTATAGATTTATGTATTCGTATGAACGGGATCATCCTATATGTGGCCTTTTATGATTGGCTTCTTTCATTTAGCATAATGCTTTCAGGGTTCATCCATGTTGTAGCATGTATCATACTTCATTCCTTTAGCTGAATAATACTCCACTGTATGGATGTACCACATCTTGTTTATCTATTTGTCAGCTGGGTTGTTTTCATCTTTTAGCTTTTATGAATAATGCTGCTATGAACATTCATTTACTAGTTTTTGTTTGGATGTATTTTCATTCCTGTTGGGTATATACCTAGGAATGGAATTACTGGGCCATATGGTAACTTTAGAGCCCCGGTGGCACAGTCGGTAAGAGCTCGGCTGCTAACCAAAAGGTCAGCAGTTCGAATCCACCAGCCGCTTCTTGAAAACCCTATGGGGCAGTTCTATCCTGTTCTATAGAGTCACTATGAGTTGGAATCAACTCGACAGCAACAGGTTTGGTTTTGGTTTATGGTAACTTTATGTTTAACCTTTTGAGGAACTTCCAGCCTGTATTCCAAAGCAACTGCACCATTTTACATTCCTACCAGTAGTGTGGAGCCCTGGTGGCACAGTGGTTAAGAGCTATGGCAAGAACTCTATGGGGCAGTTCTACTGTGGCCTATAGGGTTGCTATGAGTCGGAGTCAACTCGATGGCAACAGGTTTGGTTTTTTTTTTGGACTAGCAGTATATGAAGGTTCCGATTTCTTCATCCTTGCCAACACTTGTTATTATCTGTCTTTTTAAATTCTAACCATTCTAGTGGGTGAGAAATGGTATCTCCAACATTTTCCTTCTGGCTAATAATGTTGAGCATGTTTTCATGTGGCTATTGGGCATTTGTATATCTTCTTTGGAGAAATGTCTATTCAGATCCTTTGCTCATTTTTTAATTGGGTCATTTGTATTTTTATTATTCAGTTGTAAGACTCAGTGAGAGGTGTTTTTTTTTTCCAACCATTTTTTAACTTTTTATTAACAAATTTTAGACTTACAGAAAGTTGTAAAAATAGTATAGAGTTCCCTCATATCCCTTACCTCATTTATGTTAACACTATACATAACTATAGTGCATTTATCAAAACCACAAAATTAACATTGGTATGATACTATTTCTGAACCTTATTTTTTTCCCATACAAAAAATTATACATACATTGTTATGTGACTCTGATTGCTCTCCCCATACTGTGACAGCACATTCCTCCTTCCCACCCCTGATTCCCCACGTCCATTCAACCAGCTCCTAACCCTCCCTGCCTTCCTCTCTTACCTCTGGACAGAAGCTGCCCATTTAGTCTCTTGTATCTGCTTGAGCTAAGAGGCACACCCCTCACAAGTATCACTTAATGTCCCACAGTCCAGTCCAATCCTTGTCTGAAGAGTGGGCCTCGGAAATTGTTTTAGTTCTGGGCCGATAGAGAATCCAGGGGCCATGCTTTCCAGGGTTCCTCCAGTCTCAGACCATTAAGTCTGGTCTTCTTACTAGAATTTGAGTTCTGCACCCCACCTTTCTCCTGCTCCATCAGGGACTCTGTTGTGTTCCCTGTCAGGGCA